ATCATCATCATCAGCATCAGCATCATCATCATCAGCATCAGGTACCATGCTCGTCGTCATCAGCATCGCCATCACGTAGTCATCGTCGTCATCATCAGCATCATCAGCGGCAGCATCATCATCATCATAATCAGCATCATCATCATCAGCATCATCATCCCCTCATCATCACCATCGTCCTCATCATCATCAGCATCAGCAGCAGCATCATCACAATCAGCATCATCAGCATCAGCAGCATCATCAGCATAATCAGCATCACCATCATAGTCATGATCTTCATCATCATCATCACCAGCAGCATCATCATCGTGACCATCATCATCATCAGCGACAGCATCAGAAACAGCATCAGCATCAGCATCAGCATCATCATCACTAAAACCATCACCAGCACCATCACCATCATCATCATCATCAGAATCATCATCATCGTCAGCGTCATCGTCATCGTCATCATCATCAGCAGCATCATCATCAGCATCATCTCTATCGTCTATCGTCCCCGCCATGGAGCGGTGCCAGGTCAACGCATCCGAGCCAATTGGAACACCCCATGCCCGGATTGGGCAGGCAGGGAGTCGGCTGCCACAGAGATGTGGGTCTCCGCTCCTCCTCCTGGCCCCCTCCTCTCATCTCTCTGGTGCTTACATTCTCGCCGCAGTTCACCCCCCCGCCAGGAACGAAGCAAGCCCAGGTTCCCACCAGCCTGCCAGCCCACTCGCCTGACTGGAGCTCGTCGCCTGCTCGGCCGTGGGACCCAAGCGGCGGCAAGTGAGGGGGTCCAACTTGGTTGGGCCTCTGGCACCTGGCCGCGTAGGGGGGGAAGGCGCGGCGCTCCGGTTCCGCCTGCCTGGTTGGTTGCCCTGGCGGTGACCAAGGAGGGGACTGCCCTGCTGGGGCTGTTGCGGGAACCTTCCTGGCGTGGCCTCGGGCAGAGCAGCCTTTTCCTTGAGCCTTTTTTTTATGTGGTTTGACTCCACGTGTGCACGGGGTCACTCGCCCACGGTAAGCCCGCGGTCCACAAGGAGCGCATGGGCTCAAGTGGAAGCCGCGCATGGAGTGCTGCGCCTCCTGCGGACTAGTGAATCCCAGGCTCCTCCTCTTCCTCGTGCGCACACTCCCTCTCTCGGGGGTGAGGAGGCGGAGAAGAAGCAAGATCAGGAAGACGAGGATGATGATGAGGGCGGAGTCTTGGGCTCCTCAAGAGGCTGTCGTCGACCCTCATCGAACTCTCGCGGGACACTCGTGGGCCGTCTTGAAATAATATTGGGGCTCCCCGAGGCCAGCCATCTTGGCGCCGTTTTTTGTCCACAAATGAGACCGCCAGAAAGAAATTACAAACCTCAGGACAACCTTCGGCGTTCGACTGATGTCGACCCCTTGGAAATCCTCGGCGGGCACTCGGGCAACCTCTTGGGGGCGTCTTCAGTCTCCTTTGCGCCGGAAGCCTCC